GGCGAAGTGCCTGGCCCGCCCTTCCGACTGGCTCCGGGGTTCGGCAGGGAGGAGGTTTTCATGAGGAAAGATTTGGAGGAGGAGAAGACGGGAGCAGACAGGAGGAGAAGAAAGGGGCTCTGGGAGGGGCCCTCGGCGCGGAGGAGTGGGGGCTGCCGCCGCCGCCCGCCGACCAGCTGGAGGGCTGCTGCGTGATGTGAGGGCGCCCGCGTGGCCCCCCGGCCCGCTCCGACCGCGGGCCCCGTGCCGGAACAGGGCGCGATCCCGCCTCGTTGCGTATCGGGCGGGTGCCGCAGTCAGCCCGCACGGCAAGGCTGGGCAACCTTCCCAGGGGTACCTTTTCATCCTCGCCTCCTCGGTCCATCCTTGGCCAGTCTCGCCGGCCGCGCCCCGTTCGAGAAGTTTAGAAACGGCCTTCCAAGGCCCTTGCATCCTTGCCGCACATCCTTGACTGTAATGGGGGGTGGCCCACATGGGAGGTGAAGCAATGGGGCTTCACTAGCATCGTCATCATCACACCCATCGCATTTGCCAGCAGTTGGGTCTTTCCCCCTCACCCCCCCACCTCATCACCCGAAGGGTTGTCGTATCGGTCTTGGTTTTGTTTGAAGACATCGTGCGGCCTAGGACGGAAGGGAAAACGCACGAAGGGGTAGGTACGCCCATTTCTGGGTGAACGTTGCCGCCGCGTCCAGTACCACAGGCCACCTGTCGTGATTCGTTGTCTCTGGCACTTCTGATGATTTAGGCCAAACATGAGGAATTCATTCCGCTCTTTGGCTGGTTTCAGTGGCCGCTCGGGCACGTGCCAACAGCTGCTAGTGGGAGTCCGACTGGTTCCAGCGCAGAGGCTTGAAAACGTTGCTGTGCTCGCTCGGCCGAAGTCACGGCCTGGCAGCTGGCTGGGTGCAATCACGCATCGATCTCCAGTCGAATCCCGCGCCTAGGGGTCTCAGAAGTGTTCTGGTCCATCACAGTCCTCCGCGCGTGGATGGACCTGGACGTCGCTACTGTTGCAAGCCTTCTCAGATCGTTCCAAGGGTAGGAATGTGTGTGTGTGTGTGCGTGTGTGCGTGTGTGTGTGTGTGCGTGTGGGTCGGGACCTTGAGTAATTAATCGAAGCATATGTTGGTGCACGAGCCAGGCTCCCCCTCGTCCCAAGTCAACCGATCTCTTTTCAGGCCGATCCTTGGCCCAAGATCGGTGTATGTGCCGTCCACCGATCCTGGGCCCAGGATGGGACTGGACAGGATCGGTGTAGACGTGTAGTTGGGGCGTTTCCTGGCGTGGATTTTCGAGACACCAGGATTGATAACCGGCCCGAGTTGCCGCCTTCGGGGCCCCTGACTCATTGTGTCGAGAGTTGTTCAGGGTCCTTGAAGCTCCGTGTTATTGTTCGTTGTAACGCTGAGGGCTCGGGTAGGAGAGTGACGAAGATGAAGATGGGAAATGGGAAGCTGCGGGCTTTAAATGTAATGGCCATCGGCGCCTGGATTCGACTTTCCTAGTTCTGCTTCTTTTTTTTCGTATGGGTCGTAAAAGGTATGCTTCGGGAGGGAGTGGTCTGATTGCCATGCGTCTGAAGTGGCGACTACTCCACCTAGTCGCTCGTGCTTGCTGATTTGTGCTACATTTGTGTGTTCGCCACCCCTCCGGGTGCTTTTAGTCTTGACGCACGCCTACCTTTGAGCTGCGCTGAATTTTCCCAACCTCCCTGGCACGCACAAGCTCATGTCGAAGGTCAATGCGGCGCCCTGGACAAGTAAGAGCTGAGCGGTGGTCTGTGCTGTCGCCCCTTGCGTGTGACACTGGGCCGAGCCTGGCCACGGCATCGCCGCGCCGTAAAGTGGCGGAGGTTGACGAAAAGGGCGCGGCATCCTTGCCTCTAGCAGACAGCTCTCCCTCTCTCTGTCTCTCTCTCTCTCTCTTTCTGTTTCTCCCTCTCTCTCTCTCTCGCTCTTCCCTCCCCATAGACCCTAAACGTCCGACAGTGTGATTTTGCTCACTCTGCGGATCCAGAGAGCCCGACCGCTTCTCGGGAGGTAGTTCGTCATCCTGGACAGATCATTGATGGTCCCGGGGCCTGCGGAGCCGAAGCTGGAGAGAAAGTGCTGGGACTGGCCGAGTCAATCTGCCGGAAGTCCGAGTATGTCTGTTCTTATGGACTCAGCTCCTCCGGGGGCAACGACAGGGGGGGGGGTCTGGCCCAGGGGGGAGGGATGGGGAGCCATCGATCGGGGCCTGGGCTTAAGTCTGCCCAGGAGTGTGCGGGTTGGCCATCAGGGGGGGCCGATCGTCGGGCTGTCCGCGCTGCATCGCCGCATCGGGGTCATCGTTTCCCCCCCCCCCTGAGCCGGCCTCCCCGAAGAGGAGGGCGGGGCCAGGATGAGAAAGGGGGGAGGGGCAGGTGCAGGGGCAGGAGGGGCATGAGGAGAATGGCGAAGACGACGGGGGGGAGGGGCAGGAGGAGAATGGCGACGACGACGGGGGGGGGGAGGAGGCAGACCGTGGAGGAGGGTGACGAGAGCACAGGTCACAGGAGGACGCGGAGTGTCGCTAGGTGGCAGGTTGGCCAGGTCGAGCGAGTCAGAGGGCCCCGTCGACGACGACGACGACGACGACGACGACGACGACGACGACGACGACGACGACGACGACGACTGCAACAGAATAAACTGTTGCACAGCCTGATCTTGGGATTGGAACGCATTCCCACCTGGCAGGCGGAAGGCGTTCGCGCGCGGCCCCGCTTCGGACGACTCGGCGAAGGGAGAATCACGCGGGCCGCGCAGGGGCAAGAGCAGAGCTTCTGATGGGCGGCTCTTGGGAGATGCCAGCATTTCGCCCGCTCTCGCGCGGCCCCGCTGCCCCTGCCGCTGTCGCTGTCGTCATGCGAGTCGGCGAACGAACCATGCGCCGCGCCCGCGCGGGAACGTCACTTCCGAGCGAACCGCGCAAGGAGCTTGGGCGAAGGCGACGAGTCGTCCGCTCACGCGGGCCCCCCGACAGTTGACAAGGGAAAGATGTGCGCCGCGCCGAGGCGGGTGCGCCACTGGTAAGCGAAATCTGTTTTGCGCCGACACGAGAGCGACATTTTCGTCCTCTCGCGAGTCGACGGAGTCGCGTGCCAAAAATATGCCGCCCCCAAGCGGGATCTCAAACCTCTAGAAAATGAGCGCGGTGCCGAGGCGAGAACGACATTTCGGCCTTTGGCGCAGGATGCGCACCCTGTTCCATTCCTGCCACGTATTTTGCAACATTGGCGGCGTCATGTCATGCTGGGAGCGAAAATGTAGACTGATCATTGTTTTCATAGGTGCGGTGGGAGGTCCCGGATTGGCTGGCTATCGGTCAGGTTTGAGGCAGAGTAGGAGTATATTCTTATAGGGAGTAAGGATGGGTACATGAGGACTATGAGTAAGATCGGGGAGAAACCCGGTGATGATTATAATGGTGGTGATGAAGGCGATGATGATGTGATGATGGTGGTGATGGTGATGGTGATGACGATGATGGTGATGATGGTGGTGATGATGATGCTGATGATGCTGCTGATGATGATGATGATGATGATGATGATGATGATGATGATGATGATGATGATAAGGCGGAGCAAGAAGCCCTGTCTCTCAAGGTCCTGCAATGCCCGTTCCAGCTTGGCCTCATATGAATTGTGCACAACCGACTCCTTGGCACCATCTGGCTCGCATGGCGAGGCCACAGCTCGGATAAGTAGAAGGCGGAGGTGAGGGAGAGGAGGAGCTGAGGGGCAGGAGGAGGAAGAGGAGGAAGAGAGGCGGGAGGAGGAGGAGGAGGAGGAGGAGGAGGAGGAGGAGGAGGAGGAGGAGGAGGAGGGGGAGGAGGAGTTGTTGATGATGATGTTGATGATGATGATGATGATGATGATGATGATGATGATGATGATGATGATGATGATGATGATGATGATGAGGAGGAGGAGGAGGAGGAGGAGGAGGAGGAGGAGGCGAAGGAGGAGGACGAGCCGGCGACATCCCCCGCTCGTCAACCGAGTTCTCCCCGCCTCCGAATCCGCATGTCGTTGGGTTGACGGCTCTAGCCTAACGCAGGCAGAGTGCGAGCGAAGCAGCTTCTCAACATTATTAGCAGTTTTAAATCGTGTTTGCATGTAAGTTGTTTCTGAGTTTTCGAAGAAGTTTGGTGCCCAAAGGGGTCGGCTTGAGGCTCTAAGCTGCCAGCGGCTAACGAACGGTAGCATGCAGGGCTTCTCCCTAAAATTACGAGGGCCCGTCAGGGTCTGGTGGCCCAGAGGCCCCTCGGGCGCCCCAAGGGGTCCCGAATGGTTCAGTGCTAGCTGGCAGTGGATTGCCGTTCAGAGCTGAGCTTCCGCCGAGCGATCGCCTGCCTGCCGAAGCGCCAGCCCGACTTGACCCTCTGCCCCTCCTGCTCTCGTCGCCACCCTCCAGCCCCGGAAGAGGCGGGGCGGGAGGGGGAGCCGGGCACACGTAGGAGTGACCCTTCGCCAGAGTGACCTCTGGTGCGAGCGCATTGGGGGTCCCCGATGCAGCGGCTTGCGCGCTTGGGTTTGGGTCCCCCACTACGCGCCCTAAAAATTGCGTTGCGCACCAAGGGTCCGTCTTGCCCAGTGTTGCTCTTGCGTGTAGCCGACGGGGGGTGGCGGTGCCAGGACCAGGCGGATGGCCAGAAAATTGCTGGCCGAGGCGGCGTTGCTGTGGAGCTAGGCGGGGTGACCGCGCGGGCGGGTCAAAGGAGGGAAACAGAGACGGAGAACGATATGGGGCAGGGAAGTTAAAGTAGGCAGGCGGGCAGGTGCAGATAGTGAAGGAAGCAGGAAGAGAAAGAGAGAGAGAGAGAGAGAGAGATGGTCACACATTGTTTCAGGTACATTTTCCATTACGTATACAAGCAGACACATGCACAGTCTAACAGGGGCGCATTACACATAAGGACATGTACACTTATGGGAACGCGGACGGGTGGGTAGACAGCTGGGCAGGCGGGTTGAAGACAAACCCAGCCGCAGGAAACAGACAGGTGCAGGCAGGCACGCGTAGACGATGGACCACGGCAGGCAGACAGAACATACACATATGGGCAGACGGGCGGATACGCATCGGCTCACTGAGGCCGATTTCCTGAAGAAGTATCGCATTTACGTTGCTGATGGTTGAGTGTTTGAGACAGTCGGATGGGGCAGAGAGAGATATGTAGCGATGTGAGATGTGTATATATATACAGAGGGAGAGAGACAGAGAGAGAGGAAGGGAGACGGGGGGGAGAGAGAAGGAGAGAGAGTTGTTTGTTCAAACATATCTATACATGTATCTTCTCCGAGGGAGGGACAATACAGATGGAGAGAGAGAGAGGGAGGGGGAGCGATACATATATATACACACATCCACAATGCTATACTTGTGGGTTTAACCAGACAGAAATATATAACGATGTGAAATGCAAATGTATACACACATCTATACAGAGAGAGAGAGACAACAAAGAGAGAGAGAAAGAGAGAGATCACACACAAAAGAAAGTGAGAAGGGGGGATGGAGAGAGAGGGGGGGAAAAGAAAGAGAGAGAGATTGATAATGCGATAGAGGGGAGGGTGCGAGAGTGACAAAGAGAGAGGGGGAAAGAGAGAGAGAGAGAGAGAGAGACACCTATATCAGAGTAAGGGGGCAGTGGGATTCTATGGGGCTTGCACCCTGTTGCTTACAACGGGAAGTGAGGGGTCACCAAACTGCGTTGTTGGGCCCCGAACTACAGCAACAGCGGCTCCCTTCTGATAATTCCTCACAATTTTTCAAATCGCGCTCACGCATGGGACTTCCTCAATTGATACAGGGGTCGCGCTTTCGCGTGGGACTTTCTCGCAATTGATTCAAACGTCGCGCCCTCGACACTCAGGAATCACGCTCTCGCTCTCGACTTCCTAGCGATTTGCTTGGGAATCGCGCTATCGCTCGAGATTTCCTCGCGATTCATGCAAGACGCACGCTTCAGCAACCCGCCTGCTCGATTTGGCCGCCCGGGCCCGCCTTCCCGACTCGCCCGCTAGGGTCTACCCGCCCGATCTGCCCGTTTGGTTCTGCAACATGTTTTCTGCCTCCTAGCCCCCCTCCTGCTACTCTCTCTCGCGCTCCATCCTCCTCCTCCTTCCCCCATTGTCCCTTCCTTCCATCCGTCTTCTATTCGCCTACCTTAGGGCTGCACGTGATACGCGTTGCAGGTCAGAAAGATATACCCCCAAGGGGGTACGATCTAAGACAAACAGGGCGGGCATCGAGGTATTGGAAATGTACGTATTGAATTGCAAGCGAGCAGATAAGAGCGAACAGTCTTGAAATTTCTGTTGTTGTTGCTGCTGCTGTTACTCTTGTTGCGTTGCGTTATTGTTGTCGTCGTCCCCCTCGCGTCGTGGCCCGTGACCCGCCCGCGATCCACCCGCGACCCACCCGTGACCCACCCACGACCCACCCGCGACCCATCCGCGACCCGGCCCGCGACCCGGCCCGCGACCCATCCGCGACCCGCCCGCGACCCACCCGCGACCTGGCCTGCGACCACCAGCGACCCACCCGCGACTCGGCCCGCGACCCACCCGCGACCCACCCTCATTTGAAGGGAGGAAAAATCCACCCGGACCAGACAATTGGCGTTTAAACGGTCCCAGGCGTTTACTAAACAGCCCTGCCCTGTTCGATTCCTTCTTCGGGCGCGTTTACTAAAAGACGCCGCGTGTCGGGGTGGCTATTATGGGGGTGGATTTTTTGACTTCTAGCATTGCTGTAACGAAAGATTCGGCGCCTGCGGCGGGCTCGTTGTACGGTTCGTGAAAGTTAGGCGTCTGCGGCGGCCCTCGCGCAGACTGCCGACGCCCCCGCCGCCCCTTTCGTTCTTATCCTTAATTCCGGGTTGCTACGTGTACACATGCATATACATATAACGGCGCACCGGGTCCGGGGGCCCGGGGCCGGGACCTCGACCGCAAATGTGCACCCCGGGGGGCCCGGAGGCTCGTCGGGGCTTGCCGGAGGCCTCCCCGGTCAGACAAGACGGCCCCAGAAGCGCCCAAGACGGCCCAAGAAACTTCCAAGAGGCCTCCAAGAGGGCTCCGAGATGCTGAAGATGGCCTCCAGACGTCCAAGGACGCCCCCAAGAGGCCCCAAGAAGCCTCCAACATGCGTCCCAAGAGGGCCCCTAGACGCAAAAATTTGCCCATTCCCTTCGTAAAACGTACATTTTCAACAAAGTTGTCTTTTGGGCTTTCCGACGTTACAGGACGGCCCAAGAGGCGCCCAAGACCGCCCCAAGACGGCCCAAGAAGCTTCCAAGAGGGCCCCAGGACAGCCCAAGAGGGCCCCAAGACGGCCCAAGAGGCGCCCAAGATGGCCCAAGAGGGCCCCAAGACGGGCCCAAGAGGGGGCCCAGAGGGGGACCACGAACCGCAAGCTCGAGCCTTCCGCCCCAAGAGGCCGCCAGGAGGCCCCCAGGAGGCCCCTCAAGAGGCCCCAGGAGACCCCCAAGAGGCCCAAAGGAGGCCCCGAGAAGCCCCAAATCGGCCCCCACAATGCTTCGAACCTGCTTCCAGGAGGCCCCCGACAGGTTCAGAGGCTCCCAAGAAGCTACGTCAAACTCCCAGCGAGCGGCCGGACGAGGCCCCCCAAAAAATCCCAAGAGGGTTCCAGTATTTGTATCCTTCAGCGCTCTCTGGCCTTCTTCCCCCTGCCCCCTTCCCTGCGACTTTCGTTGACTCAAGCTCGCCTCCTCTCCATTTCCTCTCTCTGCCTCTCTCTCTCTCTGTCTTCTTCTCTCTCTCTCTCTCTCCATCTCTCTCTCTCTCTCTCTTCGCTCTCTGTCTGTCTGTCTCTCTCTCTCCCTCTCTTTCTCTCTCTTTCTCTTTCTTCCTTTCAGATTCCGTGTCCTTGCGACCTTCTGCAGTCCCCGACGTCGCCACGGCTGGATCCGCTCGAGCGTGTCTTGTGATGTGCGGCGGTGCGAAGCCCGTCCCACTGATCAAGGCACAGGTACGAAATGATGGGTCCATCATTTCTTGCCTTCCCATGTGCGTTTTCCCAATCGATTCCTGGGCCCGAGGTCGCAAAAATTACGACGTCGGAGGTCTGGGGAGGCGGGAAGCACGACCTGGACCTCCGACGTCTTGGAAAAATCACGACGGCGGTTTCGGTCAATTTTCGGCCTCCGGGGCCCCTCGCAGGGTCCCGGGACCGTCAGAAAACGACTCAGGATGAACAAAAAAAAAAAAAACATCCCCAGGAAGTCGTCGAGAGGTCCAGGGGCCGCGCACAGAAAGCATCACGACATCGGACGTCCAGAGAGGAGGTAGGAACACGAGGAGGAGGGAGCCGAGACCTCCTGGCGACGCAACACCAAAGACAACAAAAGCTTCCCCGCGACTTCCCCCAGAGACTCTAACTACAGAAACTCCTTTCGTATTCCGGCCAGAAGCATCCAGAAACGATGTACATTAGCCCTGGCGGGGGGAATGATGGCGATGGTGATGTTCATGATGACGACGGTGACGATCCTAGCTAGAACCTAAGCGCGCGCGAAGCGCGCGCGTGGTTCTAGTTTATATATACACACATCTATATACACACATCGAGAAATAATACACATATATATATAAAGAGAGAGAGAGAGAGAGAGAGAGAGAGAGAGAGAGATCGGTCAGATAAGATATGGTCATGGTCGGTCGGCGGGAGTGCGGGAGTGCAGTGCGGATTCATAGCGAGGCCCTGGCGAGAGCGACGGCGTCAAGGACGTCTGCGTGAAGGCTCCCGATGAGTAGCAGGATTATGAAAATGAGGAACAGTTTTAAAGCTCGGCGACTCGAATTTGGACACGGGATTTCGATGGTATCCTTGAAAGTAGCGGACAGTTGGCGCGCCAGCTAAGAATCAGGCATGTCAAGATGTGCTCCATTGGTGTCCCCAAAGGCCCTGGGGATTCATTGGGGCTATGTGGCGACGAATCAAGTTTGACACTGACAATACTCCGCCGCGGCATGCATCGCAGCCAACGCGTGGGGACATCGAACGCGTGTGGCTCGGAACTGTCATCGTGCTTCAACCTTCGCTCACTTTCTAGCAGATCTGGATCCACCGGCATCAACTTAGGGCTCCGCTGCCGGGTACCGTCCTGTGCATCCGCTGCAGAACCGCGTCTCGCTCTCTCCAGCCCTCCGACATCGTGATTCCTGTCACGCCCGGGGCCCCGGAGCTCTCGACTGGCGCCGCGAGTATGTTCTTGACGGGCCCCGGGCACGGGAAACGACGTCCCCTCGCACGGTTGACACCGGCAAGGAAAGCAAGCCCATCTGCGTCTCGCAAACCCAGAGATCCAACGCATTGAAAAGATCAAGGCGGAGGTTTCTCGCATTGTTCGGCCTCTATAGGGGCCGTCGACGGGCCCCGGGATTGTCAAAAAACGGCTCAGGATGAAAAAACGGTCCTGGGGAATGGGCCGAGACTTCCGGGGACCCCGCATGGAAAAGTCACGACATCGGATCTCTGAGAAGGCCCCCCGCGCGCGGGTTGCGAAGACGACCACGCTCCCCGCGCCACGGGCCTGGGGGGCCAGTTCGGAACAGCACACGCCCCCCCCCCCCCACCCCCCCGGAGGCGCAGGCGGGCCGGGGAGCACCAGGGGGGAGGGAGGGGGAGGCTGTCGGGCAGGCCTGGAGCGAGGGTGCTTCGCTCCAGAGCGCAACGCGTAGAAAGCTCTTTTGAGTGTCCGGGGACGCTCTGGAGCGGCCCGCGGCGCCCAGTGCAGCCTCGGGGCCCGCCGGCTCTGCAGGTCCTGGATTCATCCTCCTCCGGACCTGTCCTCGCCCTGCCATCGCCCTGCAGACTGGGTCCGCCCTGCCGGTGGGTTTCCCAGGATCGACGAGCCCCCCGCCGTTGGCGGACCCGTCAGCGGAGCCTGACCCGGGATGCATGTATGTCTGTATGTATGCATTCATGTATGTGTGTACGTATGTATGCATGCATGCATGCATGTATGTATGTATGTATGCATGTATGTATGTATGTATGTATGTATGTATGTATGTATGTATGTATGTATGTATGTATGTATGTATGTATGTATGTACGTACGTATGTATGTATGTATGTATGTATGTGTGTATGTATGTATACGTGTATGTATACGTGTATGGATGTATGTATGCAGGTATGCATACATACATGCATGCATGCATGTATGTATGTATGTATGCATGTGTGTACGTATGTATGCTTGTATGTATGCATGCATGCATGCACGCATGCGTGTCTGTACACGCATGCACACATGTATGCACGTACATGTGTGTACGTTTCCCTTTCTCTGGTATACACTCATGTATTATGCACTGTGGATTCTGTGTGTCAGTAACACACAGACATCCTCACGTTTCCTCCTGCTCCTCTTCGTCTCTCTCCTCGTCCTCATCTGCTTCCTCCTGCTCCATTTGCTCCTGCGTCTCTTCGTAGAGCGGGCCGGGGGGTCCTGATTTCTTGGTAAGTGGTGGTGAGTTCCGTTCTAGGAACGGATCGTGAGCAAGGGAGAGGGCCTACAGTTCACCCCGGCTAGTCTGAAGACGTGCAGAGTTCTGGGCAGGGGCCTGGGCTTTCTGAGCTTAAAGCTTCGACGCGCTTGTAAGAGAAAGGACATACCGGGGTCCATTGTGATCCGATCGATCCGATCCGATTCGATTGCGATTTCTGCTGGTTCGATTCGACTCGGACAACCCGACGATCCGATGCGGCCCGATCCTCGCGTGACGTTGTTGTGGAGCCTGGCGCGGCCGATCCAGTTTGATTTCCATTCCGCGATGATGCTGCCCGATCTGCTGCACATTCTGTCCCCATCCTGTTTCCAGACTCGATGTCAGTTCAGGGATTCGTTTCTTCTGTGATCTCTCCCCGTCTTCGGGCTGGGCTTTGTTGCACACGCGGGGCAGATATGGCGAGTCGAAGTCGTTCATCAAACCCTCGAGCCCTCGGACCTCGATCCTCGAATCCTCGAGTCCTCGAATTCCCGATCCCAGATCTAAACGTAACACCCTCATAGCATCGATCTCCAGAGTCCTCGAGAGTTCGATCTTCAAGTTTGCAGCCCAGCCAGCCTCTCGGTGGGATCTGACCTTCGCGGGAATGCTCTGATGTCTCCCTCCCCCAGCCTCCACCCTTAGATCCAGGTGCCGGTTGTTTGCGTGCCAGTCTGAGCCCCGGTCCCTCATGGATCGGCCGTCCAGTTCGAGCAACGCCGCAGAGAGGTGTGGAGATGAGTCGAGGGCTCCGGACGCATTTCTTAGATGCCCTATGATTTAGCCTACGGCATCGGATCTCGGGGGACGTCCCGCGTGCCTTAGCGAGACGCTGCGCGCTGGCAGGTCACGTGGCAGGGGCTGCTCGACGAGGTGGCCAGGGCGCCAGGGCGCGAGGACGCTGGGCGCCAGCGAATGATTGCGAAGGCCTGACGGCCGGTGCCGCCGACCCTGTTCGCAATGCGCAGCAAGAGGCACGGGCTGTGGGATGGTTTGGGGGAACGGGGAGAAGGACGAGAAGGTGGGGGAGGGAGGTGTCGTATCTGACCCGGGACTTCCCCGGGACTCCCCCGGGACCCCCCCCGGGACCTCCTCTCCCCCCCCCGTCGGGGAAGGGAAAGGGAAGGGGCTTCCCTTCGACTCAATGACGACGTTGCTCAAGGTCGGTACGGGGGGGGGGCGTCGTATCTGACTCGGGGGGGGGGTCGCTACCCCCCCCGCTACCCCCCCCCCCTCCCGGCGGGGGAGGAATGAAAGGGAAGGGGCTTCCCTTCGACTCAATTACGAGGTTGCTCAAGGTCGGCTTGGCTGGAGCCCAGGGGAAGAGGAGTCCCAGGGGGGGGGCGTCGTATCTCGTATCTGACCCGGGGGGGGGGTCGACTACCCCCCCCCCCTCCCGGCGGGGGAGGGATCAAAGGGAAGGGGCTTCCCTTCGACTCAATTACGAGGTTGCTCAAGGTCGGCTTGGCTGGAGCCCAGGGGAAGAGGAGTCCCAGGGGGGGGCGTCGTATCTGACCCGGGGGGGGGGTCGCTACCCCCCCCCCCCTCCCGGCGGGGGAGGGATCAAAGGGAAGGGGCTTCCCTTCGACTCAATTACGAGGTTGCTCAAGGTCGGCTTGGCTGGAGCCCAGGGGAAGAGGAGTCCCAGGGGGGGGCGTCGTATCTGACCCGGGGGGGGGTCGTACCCCCCCCCCTCCCGGCGGGGGAGGGATCAAAGGGAAGGGGCTTCCCTTCGACTCAATTACGAGGTTGCTCAAGGTCGGCTTGGCTGGAGCCCAGGGGACCCCAAGTATCTGACCCCGCTACCCCCCCCCCCCTCCCGGCGGGGGAGGGATCAAAGGGAAGGGGCTTCCCTTCGACTCAATTACGAGGTTGCTCAAGGTCGGCTTGGCTGGAGCCCAGGGGATGAGGTCTCCCAGGGAAAGGGAAGGACAGAGACGACGAGTACAAAGAATGACGGAGATGACGGCTCGAACGGAAAAGCCCCTCACACACGCCGACAGGGTCGGCGGATTTGCTCCCCCAGGTCCGCGCCAGGGTTCCGAGACATCCGACAGCGATGGCGACGGCTACGATCAGGGCCCCAGGAAACAAGACGTTGCAACCCAGGAGTTTGCCAGACCCAGCTGGAGAAAATGAGGAATCGCAAAGTGCTTCGGCCCACAGCTGCCGTTTTCTCTGGCGTGTGCCTGCTGTCCGTGATCATCACACGAAGCATTCATGCACGGGCCCTGACGACGACGCCGACGACGATGTGGTCGTGGTGCTCATGGCCGTGGTCGCGTCGTGGTCGCTGTTATGGTCGCCTCCTGGGATATCCCGGAGGTTCCGCGGCGGCCTCCGGGAGGCCTCTGGGAGGCCTCCCGAGGCCTAGAGAGGAGCAACAACGCGCCAGTCGTCGCCATTGGCCTGCGGCGGCCATCGCCTGGCCCTCGTCGGGGGGAGGAGGAGGAGGAGGAGGAGGAGGAGGAGGAGGAGGAGGAGGAGGAGGAGGAGGAGGGAGGGAGGAGGGAGGAGGAGGAGGAGGAGGTGGACGAGGAGGAGGAGAGCAGGAGCAGGAGGAGGAGGAGGAGGAGGAGGAGGAGGAGGAGGAGGAGGAGAGGGGAGGAGGAGGGGAGGGGGGGAGGAGGCGGCCCCTCGGCGGTGGCCGGGAGCTCGGCGACACCGCCCTCGAGGCGCTGCGGGGGCTGCTCGCGCGGCGGCCTCGCGGGCGCCGCGTGCTACCAGCTGCGGCTGCGTGCCCCGGGGGGCCGCCGCGGAACGGACGACGACCACCTGCGATGGAGGAGGAGGAGGAGGAGGAGGAGCAGGAGCAGGAGCAGGAGCAGGAGCAGGAGGAGCAGGAGGAGCAGGAGGAGGAGGAGGAGGAGGAGGAGGAGGAGGAGGAGGACGAACAGGAGGGGCAGGAGGGGCGAGGAGGAGGGGGGCAACGACGACGGCGACGACTACGACAACGACGAGGAGGCTCCTTCTTTTTCTCCTCCTACTCCTCTTCGCTCCCCTCTTCTCCCCCTCGCTGCCTCCTCCTCGCTCCCCTATCCTTCTTTTCCTCGCTCAAATCCCCCCCCCGCTCCTCCCTGCTTCTCATCCTTCCGCGTCCCACCTCCCGCCCCCTCCGGCATCGTTTCTAGCTGGGCTGGCGGGGTTCCGCGAAGCGTCTAGAGCATTTTTAGTTGTTCTTCCCGTGGCCCTCTCGGAAGGAATCGATTGGAGCATCGCGGAACCTGGTGGGAGCCGTCTCGGGCCGTCTGGGAGCCCCCTCCGCGCCCTCCGCATTTCTGCGTGCTGCCCCCTGCGGCAGCCGCTGCTGTCTTCGGCGCGCGCCACCGGCGCGCCCTCGTCAGCCTCTCGTGTTCTGCACCGTCCTTCTCCGCGCGCCGGCCGGCCCTGCGGCACAGGCTCGCGCCCGGCGGCCGACGCGGACCCCGAGCCGTGGGAGGACCGGGGCGCGCGCCCCCTGCTCGAGGGCTCGAGGCCTTGGGGCTTGTTTTGTTTTGGCCCCGCCGGTAAGGTTACTGGCATGGGCGGGGGGCGGGGGGCCTGGACCTGGAGCAAGCCGTAAACGACTTGCACGTGCAGAGAGCACGCCAGGCGAAAGGCACTTGCACGCCAGTATTCGTCTGAAGAGGGGCGAGGGATGGGAGGGGTGGGGTGGGGTGGGGTGGGGTGGGGGGGGGGCGAACGCTATGCAAGTAGCCTTGCCCGAATCCCAACAAAAAACTCCAGGAGCTTCAAACGTTTAGAGGTCTGCGCCAAGTTCTTGGGTCGGCGTGGGGCCCGCCCGGTGGCGCCTCCCGTGCCGCCCCATTGCGCGCCCCGCGCGCCAGGGATGCGGGCCCAGTTCCGAGCCTTCAAATCCGCGCGGGCCTCCGAAAGTGGATGGTCCCAAAAGTGCTTGCACCTAGGGGTTCTGAATGTGCTTCCTTTCGGGGAAACGCAAGACTCGAGTAAGCAGGAACTCGGGCTTGCCGACTTTTTTGAGCAGCGCGTCTCTTGGATTTTGACGGCCCAGTGTTCGTGGGAAGTTTGCAGCGGGAGCTCGCGTCAAATTTCAGATTGGGCCTCGTCATTTTTATGATGGCCCCGTCAGGCTAACCCGAGTCCCCCGTACCCGAGTCTAAGGTAATTCTATAGGTGTGCGTCGGGGTCCCGGCTGGTGCCTGGTTGGTGCGAGCCAGGGGGCGCCTCGTGGGCGCCCCGCGTTGTGTGTGTACGTTTGTGTGTGTGTCGAGGTTTCGCTTGGTGCCCGCCCGTGGGGGCCCTGCGTTGTGTGTGTGTGTGGGTGCGTATGTGTGTGTGTGTGTGTGTTAACTCTTCGACGTCTGAGCGTCCCTTCTTCCTCTCGGTCGTCCTCCCCCCCTCTTTGCCCGCCGGCCAATTCGCTAGTTCGTGCCCATTTCTAGCTTCTGGCTGGAGCGGAGTTCGCCGCCTCGCCGATGGCGGAACAAATATATATCTATACATATATATATATGTGTGTGTGTTTGTGTGTGTGTCGAGGTTTCGCTTGGTGCCCGCCCGTGGGCGCCTCGTGGGCACCACTGCCCGCTCGTGGGCGCTTCGTGGACTCACATCACACCGGATATCTTACACCATATTGCTTCCACAACCTAGCTTGCACTACATAGCCTTCACTGCGTAGCTTACACCACACACCTTGCACCGCACAGCTCACACCACATAGCAGTACACCTCACAGCTTCACCGCATGGCTCAAACCACATAGTTCACATACAACATAGCTGTCACCACATAGCTCACATGGCATATCTTTCGAAACATAGGTTGCGCCACACAACTTGAGCCGCATAGCTCACAACATATAGCTCACACCGCACTAACACCATGTAGCTTACACAGCACAGCGTACACCACTCAGTTTGAACCGCATAGACCACATAGCTCACGCCGCATAGCTCACACAGCATACTGCACACCACACATCGCATCTCTCACACACCATAGCTCACACCACATAGCTCACACAACATAGCTCACATAACACAGCCCATTCCGCATAGCTTACATTGCATGGCTCTCACCTTCCTTAGCAGAATAACTTTCTCTTTGGGGTCCGCGCTGGGTAACATATGTGTGCTGACTTCGCTTCTTCCAGGGATGTTCTCGGGCTGGGGCCATCAAAAAGGACGCCGCTGGGACGAACAACTGTCCCCAGGGAAGCGGTCAGGAGCTTCTGTGTCCACGGGGCTGAGCAGCTGAGCAACATCACCCCGTCGCATGCCCGGGTCTGGAAAACCGCGGTCTGTCGCCGCATGCAGGGGGGATGGGGGTCCGGGGGGAAGGGGGGATTTTCGCGCCCCCCCCTCCCCTCCCTCTCGCCAGCGAACGGCGACGCACGACGGCCACCGCCTCCCCTGCCTCAGCCCCGCGTGCTCCCTTCCGAATGCGGCGAGATCGAACGATCGCCGAAGAGCCACCCCCTCCCGCCGAGGGGGGGGAGCTGGGAGGCCCCCGCCCTGGCGGCGAGGGAGGTCCCCGACCTATCCAGCGACCCGGTTGTTTGTTCCGAGGGAGGCGGCGGCCACCGGGCCTCCCAGCTGGGCTCCGAGAGCCAACGGGTCGGAGACCACCGCGCCGCGCATCGCCGCTGCATGGGTGCTGCGGCTCGACGTGGGGCCCGATCTCCTCCCTCCACGCCGGCGTCGCCGACGCATCGCCGGCGTCGCCGAGGCATCGCCGAGGCATCGCCGTGGCATCACCGAGGCATCGGCGATGCGTTCGCGAGGCGGCGCGATCCTCCGACCCCAGCTGCTCGGACCCCATCTCTGGCGGGCCTCTCTGCTCGGCCCGGCCCCTTCCGCGGGGTCGACTCCTCGCCCTAAGTCGGGCGTGTCCCTTTACAGGAGGAATATTCAAAAGTAGATTAAAAATAGCCTGGGGACGATTTTGCTTCGTTTTTTTTGTGACAATTTACAATTTTCCATATTTTTCCTCCAAAATCCGCCTGTAGGGGGGCATGCCCGACCTAATCCTCGCCCCACGGGTCTTGCGCTGACCCAGGGCCTGCCGCCGCCTGAGGCCGGGCCTGGCGAGCCACCGGCCGTCTCTCGGGGACGGCGGAGAGGGAGTTGAGGACCAGGGGTGGCTGGGACCATGGGGTCTCCCGGATTTCATTGCCCATCCTGCTCGTTATGGTGACCACTGTTTAAGCTATTGTTTTGTTAGTTTGTTTCTACTTATTCGTCTTCTTCTTGTTTTTCTTATGATAATTATTCGTCTTCTTCTTACTATTTTTATTCTTATTATTCCTCTTCTTCCTCTTCGTATTCCTTCCATGGTTCCCTGGCCCCCCGTCGCCCGCGCGCGTGCCTCGGGCCACGATGCGCCGATCGCCCGTCCGTTCCTGGGCCCCCCTCTTCCAGCGCACCCGGGCCCGGACTCCCTCGAGGCTCTGGGGGTGTCTCTGGGGGAGCGCCGCCTCGCTCTCTCCCCGGGGGCAGCCTTTCGGGGAGGATAGGCTCATGGGGGGCGTGCATCGATCCCCAGTCGCCCAATGATCGCCGATAGGGGTCCGACAGCCCACCCCGCCCAGGAGCGTGCGGATTTGCCGATCGGCGGTGCATTTCCGATTCCAGGTCGATTCTCCCAGCCCGCCCGCCAGGCCGTTCCCCCCTGAGCCATCCCCCTGTTCTCCGTTGCCCCTTACGAGGTATGGTGAGAACTGCCTCCCTCGAGAGTGATCGAGGTCCAAGGATCGAGAATCGAGGATCGAAGATCGAGGACCGAGGATGAGGGATCGAGGGTTGAGGATCGAGGACCGAGGATCGAGGACCGAGGACGAGGGTCGGCGATCAAGGAATCGAGGATCGAAGACCGAGCTTCGAGGCTAGAGGCCCGAGGCTCAAGGACGTGTAGGATCGAGCATCGCACCTCGAGGCTCGAGGAGGCAGGATCGAGGATCAAAACCCGAGGATCGCGAGGCCCCTCCCTCGGCTCTGGCGGGCGGCAGGCCCGCCCACCTGTCGGTAGGAGCTGGAGCCGCAGCCCCTCGCCGCGGCGCGGGCCGCCGCGCCCGAGGAGAGCGAGCCCCCTGCCGAGGCGTAGGGATTTCCAGAATTTCGCCATCACGCAGTGACAACAAGGCTAAAATGCGCAGCACTTCGGGAACAGGCCGCGATCAATCCTGTCAAGGTATTCGCGCCTGGCCTTAGAAATCGGTAGCTTGCACGGTTTCCCAGGCCCCTGAGCTGGGCGGGGTGGGCCCTGAGGTCCTGGCGTCTCGATGTTTGTTCGAGCCGGGCGTTTTCGCTTCTCTTCGGGCCCCCCTATAGGGGCCGTCACAGATCGGTCCGGCTCGAAGAATGGCGCAGACAGACGGGGTCTCCATAGGGCTCCGGGCGTGATGTTGCACGACGTTGCCATGCTTTCGCTACGCGTCGGATCTCGGGGGAGGGGAGGAGGGGGGCGGGAGCCGGGACAGGAGGGAGCGAGGGAGCGGGGGCGGAGGCGGCGGCGGGGGCGGGGCGAGAAGAGCTGGGGACGGGGAGGCCGGAGGAGCCGGGTCGGACGGGAGGGGGGCTGCTCAGGGCAGGGCGGGGTCACGAAGAGGTCTGCTGCACGCAGCTGGTCTGGGCCCCGCCGCCGCGCGCATCCCTGCATTCGGCGGCGAGCCTGGGGGGGGGGGGGAGGGGGAGGGGGCGGGCCGTCTCAGGGGGCTCGGCAGTCGCCCGGCCTTCTGAGAAGCCCCCCTGAGCCTGCCCCGAAGGCACAGAGCACCTCCCAGAAGGCGCAAGGGCTTCTGAGAAGCCCCGCCGCCTTCTGAGAAGTCCTTCTCATTCTCACTTCCCCCCCTCGCTTGCTGCCGATCCATGCAATGCATGGATCGGCGCCAGGGTTATCATGGCATGCCTTGGCGACCCTGGCGCTGGGAGGCGCGGGGGGGATATCAGCCGCGTGGGCTGCCGCGCGAGCCCCCCTCTGCGATCCCCCCCCCGGTCGTCCGCCCCGGCAAGGAGTCTCATCGAGAATAAAAGAACCCCTAATCCTTTCAACACATGGCAGACGTGGCCTCACTGAGGTCCCCGTCTTTGCACTAGGGATAATGTGCATATATATATATATATATATATATATATACACATATATATATATATATAACGCCCCCCCTGAAAAATCGCAGGATGATGCAAAGCCTTTCTTTCTCTTCCTCCTCCTCCCCCTTCCTTTGGAAAGCGCCGCAAAATGATCCCATTGAGGCCTCACAACAGGAATCTTTTGGAAACGCACAAATTGATTCTATTGGAAAGCCTCGCAACAAGAATCCTTTGGAAAGCGCCACAAAGGGATTCTATTGGAAAGCCTCATAGCAGGAATCCTTTGGAAAGCGCCACACAGGGATTCTATTGGAAAGCCTCACAAAAGGAATCCTTTGGAAAGCACCACAAAGGGATTTTATTGGAAAGCCTCACAAAAGGAATCCTTTGGAAAGCACCACAAAGGGATTCTATTGGAGAGCCGCACAAAAGGAATCCTTTGGAAAGCGCCACAAAGGAATTCTATTGGAAAGCCTCACAAAAGGAATCCGTTGGAAAGCACCACAAAGGGATTCTATTGGAGAGCCGCACACAAGGAAATTCTTTTGGAAAGCGTCACAAAGGGATTCTATGGGAAAACCAAAAAACCCCCCAAAAACATGTAAAAAACCATTGAACAACAAGAAAAACCAAAGAAACCAAAGACCCAGGGCTGAAAAACCAAAAAAAACATTGAAAAAACACAAAAAAAAACAAAACAACCAAAGATTTCAATACTTACTCCACCTCTCGTCCTCCTCCTCCCCCGCCTCCTCCTCCTCCTCCTCCTCCTCCTCCTCCTCCTCGTCATCCTCCTCCTCGCCCCCCACCCCTCAGCCCCCACCCCCCATCCTTGCCCCGCTTCTATGGGAGGAGGAGGAGGAGGAGGAGGAGGAGGAGGAGGAGGAGGAGGAGGACCGGAGAGAGAATGGAGGAGGAGGAGGAGGAGGAGGAGGAGGAAGGCAAGGGGGGGAGGGGGAGGAGGAGGAGGAGGTGGACCACTCCTCCATTCCGCTTCTCCGCCTCCACTTCACTCCTCCATCCCGCTCCTCCTCCATCCCACTCTTCCGCAATTCCGCTCCCTCCTCCCCCCCTCCTCCTCCTCCTCGCAGGGCAAGGGGCGAAGGAGGAGGAAGGGTAGGAGGAGGACGAGGGGGAGTAAAAGGTTAGGGCTAAGGGTGGGGGCGAGAGGAAGGAGGAGGATGGGAGGAGGAGGAGGGAGGAGGAGAGGAGGAGAAGGAGGGAGGAGGAGGAGGATGAAGAGGAGGAAGGGGAGGAGGAAGGGGAGGAGGAGGAGGAGGAAGAGGAGGAGGAGGCGGGGGAGGAGGAGGACGAGAGGTGGAGTAAGTATTGAAATCTTTTTTTTTTTTTTTTTGTTTTTTTGGTTTGTTCAATGTTTTTTTCGTTTTTCAGTCCTGGGTCTTTTTTTTTCCACTGTTTTTTGGGTTTTTTGGTTTTCCAATAGAATCCCTTTGTGACGCTTTCCAAAGGATTCCTTTTGTGCGGCTCTCCAATAGAATCCCCTTGTGGTGCTTTCCAAAGAATTCCTTTTGTGAGGCTTTCCAATAGAATTCCTTTGTGGCGCTTTCCAAAGGATTCCTTTTGTGCGGCTCTCCAATAGAATCCCTTTGTGATGCTTTCCAAAGGACTCCTTTTGTGAGGCTTTCCAATAAAATCCCTTTGTGGTGCTTTCCAAAGGATTCCTTTTGTGAGGCTTTCCAATAGAATCCCTGTGTGGCGCTTTCCAAAGGATTCCTTTTGTGAGGCTTTCCAATCGAATCCCTGTGTGGTGCTTTCCGAAGGATTCCTTTTTTGAGGCGAGGAGGTGGACCACTCCTCCATTCTGCTTCTCCGCCTCCACTTCACTCCTCCATCCCGCTCCTCCTCCATCCCACTCTTCCTCAATTCCGCTCCCTCCTCCCCCCCTCCTCCTCCTCCTCGCAGGGCAAGGGGCAGAGGAGGAGGGAGGGGGAGGAGGAGGACGAGGAGGAGTGAAAGGTGAGGGCTAAGGGGTGGGGGGCGAGGAGGAGGAGGAGGAGGAGGATGAAGAGGAAGAGGAGGCGGAGGAAGGGGAGGAGGAGGAGGAGGAGGAGGCGGGGGAGGAGGAGGACGAGAGGTGGAGTAAGTATTGAAATGTGTTTTTTTTTTGTTTTTCAATGTTTTTTTTTTTTTTGTTTTTCAGCCCTGGGTCTTTGGTTTCTTTCTTTTTTCAATGGCTTTTTTGGTTTTTTGGTTTTCCAATAGAATCCGCTTGTGACGCTTTCCAAAGGATTCCTTTTGTGCGGCTCTCCAATAGAATCCCCTTGTGGTACTTTCCAAAGGATTCCTTTTGTGAGGCTTTCCAATAGAATTCCTTTGTGGCGCTTTCCAAAGGATTCCTTTTGCGCGGCTCTCCAATAGAATCCCTTTGTGGTGCTTCCCAAAGGATGCCTTTTGTGAGGCTTTCCAATAGAATCCCTTTGTGGTGCTTTCCAAAGGATTCCTTTTGTGAGGCTTTCCAATAGAATCCCTGTGCGGCGCTTTCCAACGGATTCCTTTTGTGAGGCTTTCCAATGAAAATCCTGTGTGGTGCTTTCCGAAGGATTCCTTTTGTGAGGCTTTCCAATAGAATTCCTTTGTGGCGCTTTCCAATAGAATTCCTTTGTGGTGCTTTCCAAAGGAATCCTTTTGTGAGGCTTTCCAAAGGATTCCGATTGTGAGGCTTTCCAATGGATTCCGTTTGTGAGGCTTTCCAATAGAATCCCTTTTGTGAGGCTTTCCAAAAGATTCCGATTGTGATTCTTTCCCATAGAATCCCTTTGTGGCGCTTTCCAAAGGATTCCTTTTGTGGAGCTTTCCAATAGAATCCCTCTGCGGCGCTTTCCACAGGATTCTTTATGGGAGGCTTTCCAATAGAATCCTTTTGTTGTGCCTTCCCAAGCAAGGAGTGGAAGTGCAATGGAGTTGGATTGAGCGCTTTGCATCGCCCTGCGATTTTTCAGGGGGGCGGGGATACGCCAGCACCCATATAGAAATGTGTATGGGCGGTTTAGTTCGATACATCTGCAGAAAAGAATCCCCTTGCCTAATGTTTTTGGCCCTCCTAACTCAGGTCCCCTCCCGAAGGATTGGGGGCTCCTTTTCTGGTGGATCAAGGAGGGGGGCAGGGGCGAGAACGGGCAGGAGAAGGAGGGGGGTCGGCGGCAGGCGGAGAGGGGTGCCCGCCCGCTGGAGCCGGGAGCGCTCTGTATGGGTGCACCTACGGGGGGAGGCCACGGCTCATGCCGCAGAGTGCCAAAAGCTCGCGACGGGAGGTTTTTCCATGCTTTCAGCCTCCAGGGGCCCTTGCCAGGCCTCGGGGTCGTCCAGTAACGGCTCAGGATGGAAAGCCGGTCGCGGCGAAGGGGTTATAGACCTCTGGGGGTCGACCTTGTGAAAAGATCACGGCGTCGGGGGTCGGGGCCCAGCGTCTTGACGCTGAGCCTAGTCGGAGGTCTTTCGGCCTCCAGGGGCCCCCGCCGGGCCCCGGGGCCGTCAAAGAGCGATGCCCAGGACGAGAGGCCGGTCCCTGGGGGCGGGGGCGGGGAGGTCTGCGCGGGCCCCGTGTGTACAACACCGGGGCGTCGGAGAGGTCGGGCAGCTCCAAGGTGGGTCACCCGTGGGTGGGGGGGGGGGCGTCGTCAGCTCCTCCTCCCGGAGGCCGAGGGTCGATGAGGAGAGAGAGAGAGAGAGAGAGAGAGAGAGCACGGGATCGAGAAGGTTTGGGGCGTTTTTGGGCGTGTTTGGAAGAGTCCCCGGGGCTCCTGGCGGGTCTATACAGGGGGGGTCCGTTTCCTCGAGGAGCTGGCGGCTCCCCTTGGCATTCTCCTTGTCAGCGGGCTGGGGGGGCCCACAGTTCTGGCCGCCGTGAACACCTTCGGCGTCTGCAGGGGCCCTCACCAGACCCCACGATGTTCAAAATCACGGCGTCGCGGGTCAGGGGGAGAGGGCGTGGGAGATGAGGTTCGAAGTTTGAGGGCTCAAAGTTTGA